CTCCCATAGAGGTCGGCCTACCTCGAAGTTCTCTGCCTCCAGGGCCCCGCCTGAACCCCGGCAGAGCTCCCGCAATCGGTGGGGCGAACCTCCCACAGAGGCCTTGGCACAGATTACGGGTTTCAATCCCACATGCCGCCTTCCTCTCTGAACCAAAAAACTAGACTGAGAGTAAGAAAGGCAAAAGGAGAGAGATTGAGTCGCTCAGATACAAGAGAGGTGCGCTCAGACTCGCGTGAGAGGGCCTTGAAATCTTGACGCGCCTGAGGGCCCCGCAATAATGGCCAAATACGCAATAGGATGGCCAACCCGCAGCCAAAACGCAGTACGATGAGCAACTCTGACGAACCTCCAAGACGCAGCGAAAACCCTGTTGCAGACCCTGATTACTTCCCTCGATTGCAGCGTCGTTTCCCCTCGCCAAGCTACCACCACTCAATCTAAACTGTCGTTACGCAGCCTGGTGCAAGTATGTTCAAATCGAGCACACCCCCGTGCTCTATCCAAACCGCATGCAGAACACAATGTAACTCAAATAGGAACTATGCATACAGCGATCGCACACCGCCACAAGATACCGTAGTAGTACACTGAAAACAAGGTACCACGCTTCAGTACCGCACTACAGGGCTCAACAACATAGTGCAGAACACAGTAATACATAGGGTAAGCCAAACGCAAGCATAATGGCGAGCAACAAATGCCCAGCTAATATGTGGCAAGTGCACCACGAAACTGCAGTCAAGCTATATCGGGGAGCTCAATGGTTTGTTGTTTGAAGCCTTCCGCAACAGTATCGGTGCACAGCAGCAATACAGACTTAAAGCTCCATAGCTGCAATAATAGTCCGCCCTGCAGCATCCGTGCACTGTCCGAGCATACCACAGCAGCAACCAACAGGCATCTGCAAACCCTCATTCCATGGCCATTTCAAAGTAAACACGGACGTCAGCAACAACAGCCAAAGTATGTGCAGATGTTAGCCCCGCTGTCCATTGCCATGACCCGGTTCATCCCTTCACATTTCCCAGCAGACGGAGATCGGAGGGCGGTGCAGTTGCAGAGGGCCCCTAAAATCAACAGTTCCTTGTAAGAGGCTTGGCCAAAAGAACAGGTCCCAGTATAGCTGTTAAACAGGCTGAGGTCACGTTCGCCAATCAGAATCAATCAGCCGAATCACTCCACCAACTAAAAACGACTATGCACCAAAGCCACAGAACTAAGAAACAGTCCTTCATCTGTCATTTCGTTGCTGCACATGGTTAAACTACTGGTGTGCTGCAACTTACTGCAGACTTCGCAGCTTCGTAACCACGGCTGCAACTTGACCAGGTAAGTTTCCTTCTTGTTGTTGTTGTCTCCTCTCGCTGCTCACTCACTGTTCAAACTCAGCTATGCATCTCGAACCCTCTCCTTTTATCCCTCTCGTTTAGTCAACTCAGCCTCTTCCATTCCGATGCATCTGGCCGCCTTACCGACCAGATTCGTACGGACTCAAACCCAACAGTGTTGCAGACTGTGAAGTGGAGCAACATGGCGATCACGTCCGCGAAGGAGCCAACCACGTCTCACAAATCATGCAGGTAACTGTGCACTCTCTCTCTCTCTCTCACCCACACACACACACACACACACACACACACACACACTCTTCCCGAATGCACCTAGCCTACGGTAACGACCAGGTGTACTCCAGCCCGTAGTCTGAGAAAACGGGCGCAACCAGTCGAGGATGGTTATAGCAAAGAACAACCGCGCCATAATCAATAAAAAAAATGATGAGATGAACGAGAGGGGAAGCGAAGGCCTCTCTTCTCCTCTTTGATCTCCTTCCCCCTTCTCACTTCCCCCTCTCTGCTGCGCTCGTTCCACCCGTTGCTCAGCCCTCAGTTCAAGAATGCACCTCGCCGCTTTCCATGCCAGGTTCGTTCAGGATTCTAGTGAACGAAGACCACCAACGGAAAGGAATCCGAGGTATGCACCATGATCGGGATAAGCCATGATCAGCATGATGACAATCACGATCCCGATAGCATCAAATGGAGGGGAATACAATTTCGAAGTTGGAGCTAACTACACTTGTGAAAATGAGAATGAATCTTCAGCTAAAACGTGAGTAGG